TCCTCGCATGCAACATCCAATTACAACCCGTAAACCATCTATGGCAAATAACCTTGTATACATCAAGGGATGAATCTGCTACCATCATCTCACGACACTCTTTTACGCTGTTCATTCGCACCGCCCTGCTTAGGCGCGCTTTATCTGGAAAAAGCTTGCCCTTTGACACCGCCGTTGCTCTAGATTCATCCCACATTGCTGTCCGAATTTCGTCAATATCCCTTGTGAGGGCATCCACATCTAGCATAATTGGGGAATGATCAAGGTAGGGAATCTCCCTTGAATGAAACGGCACAGGGACTCATACACGCTTGGTTTAATGGGAGGTGGAATATGCTCCCTCGTCAAATCAGGTTCAACATTCTCTCCCTCCTCATCGTCACCCTTATCAGGGAAGGGTGTGTCATCTCCAGACTCATCGGCATTGTTGTCATATTTATATTCTCTTCCTGACTCTGCGCATCTGGTAGATCCCGATTAGATATATCGTCTTCGGGCAATTGAGTAAGGACAGTACCATCAAGTTGCTCGTTTTCACTGCACAACCAATAATATAACGAGTTACTCAAATTGGTCCAAACTTTACATATAATTTTGTATATTCACTTACAAATCATAATGTGTTGATATCCCATGAGGCACATTATCCTCTTGATGATGACTCCCGCATGGACCACCATGATCCAACAAACCAAAACCAGGCATATTCCAACTGGCCATTGGTTCGTAACTTGTAAAATTCATATCTGTCGGTTTCCCCTGTGGAATATATGAGTGTTAGTACAAATTCAATACATAAAAATATACATCGTAACGCAAAGGAAAATTGAAGTTTACCACTCGGCTTGTGGATTATGTAAACTAGGGGAGAATTTCTTTCCTCGCTCCTCATTCGCCTGTGGAGATAAGTTCAGATCAGGCCAAACTCTTTCAGCCGGAACCTGTTCGGCTAAAACATAACATGTATGTTGAAAGCACTTCATGGCATGCTAGCATGGCATGTAGTAGATGGACCATTTCGCATAGGAGCATAACCTTCTGGCTTCATTTACGGTATGTGTATTATTCCCCCAGTTTTGATGGATAGCGGTGCGAACTTCAAAAGTATTTCGCTCATTGCAATACTATAAATATGAATGCCAATGTGCTTGCCTACTGTATTTCTCAAATCTTTTCACTGGTGTTGCATAAATTCAACACCCCTCTCCATCAATGACGATGCACCTCTAGCCCTTTCAACAAACTTCTCTGCCATCTGCTTGAATGACATCCGCACCATGGAAGTGACAGGCAATCCACGTGCAGACTTCAATAACCAGTTGAAAGAATCTGACACATTTGTAGTCAGAATTCCCCATCGTCTGCCACCATCCGCATGCAATTTCTACTTGTCAAGCTCATATCACATCGACCAACGATAGGCTCCTTCGTCTTCCTGCCTGATCGATTTCATGCGCCTCCTGAATTTACACTCATGGTGATCTGTTGCAGCCATCCACATTAAATCATGCAAGTCCTTGTTAGGATGTGCCTTCTGGAAATTGGCCTCAGGTGCCTCACATAGTAACAGTGGTATGCATACGGTTCCTGCCATGCAGGAAAATATTGTACAGAACTTAAAATACCGCCATGCCGATCAGATATTAGACAAATACCTGAACGTTGTCTGACAACGTACTCCTTCAAGTGGTTCAAAAATAGCATCCACGTAACGGCGATCAGCAACTTAATATCAAACTTTCCATAGACATGAGTGCCGTTTATGGATATTACCAGCCGACAATGCACAAAACCATCAATTGCTGGTATAAATGCCCAGAACACATATCTGAATATATGTTCTGATATTTACGGACCTCGTTCAAGCTTCCATTCAACAATTGTCCTGGGGTTAAAGTGTTGCAATACGACCATGTACCTAGGTAGAGATGCAAATGACTTATCCCAGTTACCATAAATAATTTCAAACGCACGTTTGCGCCCGAGAAATGCGTTTCTTTTGGTAATGGGACACTCATATTCCTAGTGGACAGATGTAATACACTCTTTGATCTTGTACCATATGGATGCTTCAATGTGTGGAATCAAGATAAGAGAAATTAAGTCAACATCCAAGTTAAAGTGATTCCCATTGAATGTGTCCATTTCACAATTGTGGGTGCGAATGTATTTACCCACAATCCACATATTTGTTTTCTTCTTCCTCGCATGCAACATCCAATTGTAACCCGTAAACCATCTATGGCAAATAACCTTGTATACATCCGGGGATGACTCTTCTACCATCATCTCACGACACTCTTTTACGCTGTTCATTCGCACCGCCCTGCTTAGGCGCGCTTTATCAGGAAAAATCTTGCCCTTTGACACCGCCGTTGCTCTAGATTCATCCCAAATTGCTGTCCGAATTTCGTCAATATCCCTTGTGAGGGCATCCACATCTGGCATAATTTGGGAATGATCAAGGTAGGGAATCTCCCTTGAATGAAATGGCACGTGGTACTCATACACTCTAGGTCTAGCGGGAGGTGGAATATGCTCCATTGTCAAATCTGGTTCAGCATTCTCTCCCTCCCCATCATCACCCTTATCAGGGAAGGGTGTGTCATCTCCAGACTCATCGGCATTGTTTTCATATTTATATTCTCTTCCTAACTCTGCGCATCTGGTAGATCCCGATTAAATATATCGTCTTCGGGCAATTGAGTAAGGACAGTACCATCAAGTTGGCTCGTTTTCACTACACAACCAATAAAATAATGAGTTACACAAATCGGTCCAAATTTTACATATAACTTTATATATTCACTTACAAATCATAATGTGTTGATATCCCATGATGCACATTATCCTCTTGATGATGACTCCCGCATGGACCACCATGATCCAACACACCAAAACTAGGCATATTCCAACTGGCCGTTGGTTCGTAACTTGTAAAATTCATATCTGTCGGTATCCCCTGTGGAATATATGAGTGTTAATACAAATTCAATACATAAAAATATACATCGTAACGCAAAGGAAAATTGATGTTTACCACTCGGCTTGTGGATTATGTAAACTAGGGGAGAAATTATTTGCTTGCTCCTCATTCGCCCGTGATGATAAGTTCAGATCAGGCCAAACTCTTTCAGCCGAAACCTGTTCGGCTAAAACTACTTCAAAATAACCACTCGATGATTGAGGGATATCCCTACTTTGCGCAACCACATTATTGCGAACGTCTTCAGCCTTGACGTACATTTTAAACTGTTTTATCACAATAAATTTTCGGTATTCATCCGAAGTCCTCAAAAATTCTCTCAGAGTTTCATCGTCTTCGATTTTAAACTCAGCATAACAAGCAACCCCTTGCGGAGTCACAGAATACAGATATCTTCCGGTTTCTTTAATATTCACCGAACGTTTAACAACGATACCAATGTATCGTACTCCATTGTAAATGGCAACTTAACATGACAAACTATAGCTTACTGAGTTATTCGCCACCACAACCTCACCACCACCACCACCACCACCCCCCCCCCCCCCAATATAATGAAACCCTAATTCTTCGCTCTTCAGACATTATGACAAAATGCAAAACAACTTCACAAAGAAATATTACAAGACTTGAGAATATTTCTGAATGCATTTTTACAAAATCCTTAACGTCTTTAAATAAGACAAAAACCAATTCGGGAGATCGAATTTTTTGAGGTATAGCGCCTTAAATAAGGGCGTTATACCCATTTGAATTATTGTTATGTCAGTTAAGCCCAGAAGAATTATTTGTGGGCCCACATAATATGTATAGCGCGGTAAGGAAGGGCTTTATATATATAGCGCCTTTTAAAAGGGCGCTATACTTAACTGGGCAAACAGCCGTTAAGGTATAGCGCCCTTTAAAAGGGCGTTATATATAAAATAGTCACCAGATTTTTTCCCACACATTTTGATTCTTTGAGTCCAAAAGAATCACATTTTGGTTCCGGACTCTTCTCTACAGCTCCATCAACAGCTGACTGCCTAAAATTGGTTAGGAATTGAAGTGGAGGCTCTGAAGTTATGGTAGGACTAGGGGTGTTCATGGTTCGGTTTGCATCGGTTTTTCCCTAAAAAGAAACCAAACCAAGTAAGTCGGTTTTTCAAATATTAGAACCAAACCAAACCAATTAAGTCGGTTTTTTCTTGATTCGGTTTGTGTCGGATTTTGTCGGTTTTTCGGTTTTTTCGGTTATTTGTCGGTTTTTTCTTAAATATAAGACATACAGTACCAAACACATATTCTGACGATCACATTTTCAATGTAACACTATCAAATCAATTGCCCTTTGAGAAATCTATTATTTACTAAAAGATATTGATGATAATTGAATCAAATAGTGATGAATAATTTAAGGACTAAATTAAAAATATATTTTTTAACATGAAATAGATTCTTACACTTAACAAAAGAAAACTACCAATCAAACTAGAATATAAACGTAAAAAACTGTACTAAAAGTGCAAACGATTAACATTCACCATAAAAATTTTGAAACTTTGTATAAAAACATACATCCATACATACATATATATATATATATATATATATATATATATATATATATCTTTGTGTGTGTGTGTGTAATAATAAATCTGAAATAGCTACACTATAGTCGGTTTGGTTCGGTTTTTTACGGTTATTTTTTGATTAAAACCAAAACCAAACCAAATTTGATCGGGTTTTAAAATTCAAAACCAAAACCAAACCAAACCAAATTTGATCGGGTTTTAAAATTCAAAACCAAAACCAAACCACACCAAAAAGTATCGGTTTTTTTGGTCGGTTTGATTTGGTTTTCGGTTTGGTTCGGTTTTTCGGGTTTTTATGAACACCCTAGGTAGGACTAGTTTTTTGACGTGACTTTGAAGCTACAAATTCATGATTGGCCTATTATTAAGTGCTAATAGTTAACTCCATCTTCAGTTACGCTGTAGAGTACAAGGAAAGGGAAAACATATACAGCCGCATGAGCTGGTACTGTTATCCCCACTTAGAATGATTCCGAAGATAATAATCCTTCTAATTAGCGGGCCACCACAGTTATCTATTTGTCGAATTTCCTTTATGATGGTTTTCGTTTGAATTCAATTCTTTTAAAAAACTATTTTGGTTTTGTCAGCGTAGTTTTTCCATTTTTTTAGTTCTGCTAAATATTTGCATAAAATACAAATGCAATTTGTTAATACTCCAATTGATCCTAGACACCAAATGATATAGGAGTTGGCTAATTTAATTATCATCCTCTCCAGCTACTCAAGAGTCGTGACCCTTTAAAAACTTCCATTACATCATTTCCCACCAATAACTCCATCACCCAAAATTCTACTAGCAGTAAACTGTCTTCAAATACATATATACTCGATCTATAAATGCATTATTGTTATGGCCTCTTCTGAATCTTCGTCCGCATATTCATATGCAGAGCCAAGCAACGAGAATTCGTTAAACAAGCGGCGGCGTTGTTTCTGCTTCCCATCTTTCAGTTCTACAAATCAATTAACAAGGCGTGTTAACTTGGACTGGTGGCATAAGATACGCAGCAGCGCAGTCAAGGAAGGGTCTGTATGGGCCAAAGGAATCAACGCTCTAAAGAAGCTTCGAGAATGGTCGGAGATCGTGGCCGGACCAAGATGGAAGACTTTCATTCGAAGGTTCAATCGGAACAAAAGCGGGAGATTAATGCT